TAGGACATATTTTCTTATTTGCAGTATAATTATTAAGAAATAATCATAGTGACTATGCAAATCGCTGCTGTTGAACTAACAATGGCTGCCAGCCAATCAGAATACAGGGATTCACATACTGCATGTGAGTATGAAATAACCATTTAGTAGTTATGAAAATAATACACACATAACCAGAATCTTGGGAACTGCATAACTGAAAAACAATGTTGTCATTAACTATATTGCATTTCAATACTCCGGTAGGCTAAGAAAATTCCATTTCAGTTTATTGATGTTATATCTGATGTAAATTTCAGTTGTAAATAGATTAAAATGTTTGTTATGACAGATTATAATGTTTATACCACTGTAAATATTTTGTTTGGTTTGTGGAATCATCGATTTATCTATGTATGGCATTTGTTATATATTTCTGCTTATATTTCACATTAAGAAAATAAAAATATTGTAAACTATATACTCATATAATTATAGATATAGGAAGAAAAAAAAGAAAAACCTAATACGAAGACATTTACTAGCACAGTTAGAATGAGGTCTCCCAGCCTGAAGAAACAAAATGTTTTAAAACCTTAATTTCTGAATATTATCATTAACATTCAAGGATGCATCAAACCTATGTTTGGGAGAATACAGGTACGTAAATTATCTAAGTATAATTCCCTGTAAGATTACAGAAATATGATTGTACTCCTAAATTAGTTTCTCAACAAATTGATATTGATCAATAAAGCCCCCTAGTGGTTAAATGTAAGAAAAAAAACAGTACAGTAAAAATATCTTAAATGTCTATTGCTAAAAAACTTTCTAGGATATCTACATTTACTGTTTAAACAAGTTGGAAAAAGTTTTCTTATTAATCAATGGCTTGAAATCACCCATTAGTCCTCAAACTACATCAGCATCTCTTTCACAAAACCATAAATACTACACATTCTAATTTTTTCAGGTTCTTATTACACTGTGGTAGAAAGTGACTAGCATTTCTCATCTGAGTGATATCTCCCTTCCTCTTGTTCTAAGGAGAAATGAAAGAAAAAACTGTATCTATTTAATTTCTTTTTCATCTCTGTGACAGTGCAGAATAGTTCTCTATTGTTCATATAAAATGTTTTGTACTCTTTACTTTTAATGGTGACCTGAAAACAGGAAAATAATATGGTGTTTGTGTCCTTTTCGATGGTTTATGATAACCTGAAAAGTTGGGGGGGGGGGGGGGGGGGGAGGGAGTATCGTGTTTGTGAAGAGGCAAGGCATGAAGGATATTTTACATTTTTTTAACATTAGAAATTTATTTACTTATCTCAAGACTGGTTTATTGTAGCTTATAGTATCTAATAAGGATGTAAAATCCCATTTCATTGGTTAACTGGTTAAACAATGTATTTTTTGTTTTTCTTCATATAAATCATTGCTTTGGGGTGGGGCTGAGGATGGGGGGTGGTTCAGTATGCAGGCTGCCCTGAAGACAGAGGACTACCCCAACCCTCTCTCTCTCTCTGAAGCATCTTAGGGAGGAAAATTCCTTCCTGACCCCAAATATGGCAATCAGCTGAATCTTGAGCATGTGGGCAAGACTCACCAACCAGACACCCAGAAAAAGTTCTCTATAGTAATGCCTATCTTCCCACCATTGGCCTATTTACCACTGATAGTGAAAGGTCAATTATTTGCTAAGATCATGTTATCTCATCAAACCATCCCCTTCATAAACCCATCTAGCTTAATCTTGAAGCCAGATAGGTCTTTTGCCCCCACTACTTCCCTTGGAAGGCTGTTCCAGAACTTCATTCCTCTGATGATTAGAAACCTTCACCTAATTTCGAGTCTAAACTTCCTAATAGCCAGCTTATATCCATTTGTTATTGTGTCCACATTGGTATTGAGCTTAAATAATTCCTCTCCCTCCCTGGCATTTATCCCTCTAATATATTTAAAGAGAGCAATCATATCTCCCCTCAGCCTTCTTTTGGTTAAGGTAAACAAGCCAAGTTCCTCGAGTCTCCTTTCATAAGACAGGTTTTCCATTCCTCGGATCATCCTACTGGCCCTTCTTTGTAACTGTTCAAGTTTGAATTCATCCTTCTTAAACATAGGAGACCAGAACTGCACACAGTATTCCAAATGGGGTCTCATCAATGCCTTATATAATGGCACTAACACCTCATTATGTCTACTGTAAATACCTCGCTTATGGCATCCCAAAACTGTATTAGCCTTTTTCACGGCCATGTCACATTGGCGGCTCATAGTCATCCTGTGATCAACCAGGACTCCGAGGTCCTTCTCCTCTTCCATTACTTCCAACTGATGTGTCCCCAGCTTATAACTAAAATTCTTATTATTAATCCCTAAATGCATAACCTTACACTTCTCACTATTAAATTTCATCCTATTACTATTACTCCAAATTACAAAATCATTCAGATCTTCCTGTATGATATCCCAATCCTTTTCTGAATTGGCAATACCTCCCAGCTTTGTCTCATCCGCAAACTTTATTAGCACACTCCCACTTTTAGTGCCGAGGTCAGTAATAAAAAGATTAAATAACAATGGTCCCAGAAATGATCCCTGAGGAACTCCGCTAGTAACCTCTCTCCAGCCTGACAGTTCACCTTTCAGTATGACTCGCTGTAGTCTCCCCTTTAACCAGTTCCTTATCCACCTCTCAATTTTCATATTGATCCCCATCTTTTCCAATTTAACCAATAATTCCCTATGTGGTACTATATCAAATTCCTTACTGAAATCAAGGTAGATTAGATCCACTGCATTTCCTTTATCTAAAAAATCTGTTACTTTCTCAAAGAAGGAGATCAGGTTGGTTTGGCACGATCTACCTTTTGTAAAACCATGTTGCAATTTGTCCCAATTGTCATTAATCTCAATGTCCCTAACTACTTTCTTCTTCAAAATTTTTTCCAAGACCTTGCATAGTACAGATGTCAAACTAACAGGCCTGTAGTTACCCGAGTCACATTTTTTCCCTTTTTTAAAAATAGGAACTATATTAGCAATTCTACAGTCAAATGGTACAACCCATGAGTTTATTCTTGGATGAAGATTATCTGGGCCCCCTGATTTACTCCCATTAAGATGTTCGAGTTTGGCTTCTACCTCGGATTTGGTAATATCTACCTCCATATCCTTATTCCCACTTGTTATGTTGCCATTATCCCTAAGCTCTTCATTAACCTCATTAAAGACTGAAGCAAAGTATTTGTTTAGATATCGGGCCATGCCTAGATTATCCTTAACCTCCACTCCGTCCTCAGTGATTAGCGGTCCCACTTCCTCTTTTTTTGTTTTTTCCCTATTTATATGGCTATAAAACATTTTACTATTGGTTTTAATTCCCTTTTCAAGGTCCAACTCTACATGATTTTTAGCCTCTCTCACTTTGTCCCTACATGCTCTAACCTCAATAAGGTAGCTTTCTTTGCTGATCCCTCTCATCTTCCACTCCTTATATGCTTTCTGCTTTTTCTTAATCACCTCCCTGAGATGCTTGCTCATCCAACTTGGTCTAAAACACCTACCCATACATTTTTTCCTCTTTCTTGGAATACAGGCTTCCGATAGCTTCTGCAACTTTAACGTAAAATAATCCCAGGCCTCCTCCATTTATAGATCCATAAATTCTTTAGTCCAATCCACTTCCCTAACTAATTTCCTTAATTTATTAAAGTTAGCCCTTTTGAAATAAAAAACCCTAGTCTCAGATTAATTTTTGTTTATCCTTCCATTTAGTTTGAACTGAATTAGCTCATGACCTATTTCTTCTATGAGGTCCTCACTACTCACCAAAACCAAATCTCATATGGCTTCCCCCCTTGTTGGTTCAACAACTACTTGATGAAGGAATTCATCAGCTATCACATCTAGGAAAATCTGAGCCCTATTATTATTACCAGTATTTGTTCTCCAGTCTATATCTGGAAAGTTTAAGTCTCCCATGATTACACAATTTCCATTAGTATTTACTTCTTTTAAAACATTGAAGAGGTCTCTATCCATATCCAAATTAGATCCCGGTGGTCTATAGCAGACCCCAAGCACTATCCCAGGGGAGGATCTAATAGTTTTCTTCCCCAATGTGATTTTTGCCCAGACAGACTCTGTCTTCTCCATTCCTTCACTTTTTAATTCTTTGCAATCTACCTAATCATTGATATACAATGCTATTCCACCACCTTTTCCTTTATTTCTGTCTTTCCTAAACAGCACATACCCTTCAATACCTGTACTCCAGTCATGTCTAATATTCCTGCAATGAGGAGTAATGGTAGTTCAAATTAAGAGTGTTAATTTGAACTACCTAGCCCGTGCCGCGTGTAGCCGCGGGCAGGTAGTTCGAGCTACTGGGCATTTAAAAATGGCGGCTCCCGGGAACATGCAAATGAAGCTCAGGATATTTAAATCCCGGGCTTCATTTGCAAGTTCAAATGACCACATTAGCCACCCTAGTTTGAACTAGGGTGGCTAGTGTAGCCATACCCTACATTCTTTGCCATGTTGTTTCACTTTGTTCTCAATATACTGAGTTCGTATCACCTTTGCCTTCCTAACACATTCCTATTCTATTGCAAAATGAAGATCTTTCTTGTGTCTGCCAGAAAGGATCCCAAAGCATAGGTGTAACATGCTTGTGATAAATTACTTAGCAATCAAACCACCGTATTTTGGATTTGCTTCAGATTTCAAAAGGCTTTAAAGTGTATTCCCTAGACAGCACTGAAGCAGTACAGTCTAGAGATAACAAAGTTGCAAGATCTACAACTGCAGGAAGTGTGGGTAATGATGTCTTTGTAAAGACCTTAGATGGAACACAGAAGGCTCTAGGTAAGTATTATATAATTATTACTATTATCAGGACCAAAGATGCTGCATTCCCTATCTTCCCCACTTTGGGTCAAAAATGATCCAAAAAGGGGGAGAAATAAATCAGGTGTGTGTCCTTTTTTCCACTTAATCTTGTGCAAAATGGAATAACAGAGTCCTGATGTTGTATTCAATTCCCAGTACCACCCCACCAGGCTCTTTGTGCAGGAACATTAGCACTCTCCTCTTGATGCAGCTCATGAAGTTTGGCAAAGTCAGGCAACTCAGTAGGGTTGCCATCTTTCTACTCACACAAAACTGAACACCCTTGCTCCAATTCCTGTCCCTTCTATGAGGCTCCACCTCTGCCCCTTCTCCAAGGCCACACCCCCTGCTCACTCCATGCCTCTCCCAGCCCCATAAGTAGGTATTTTTGCACCCAGGGCAAAATATTAATTATGTGCCCCCCCTCCTTAGGTTAGCACATGTTGCATTCTTTATTTTTGCAGCTTATTAATTTTACTTATTGCATCTTTGTGCCCCATATCATGATGTGCCCATGGGGAACACTCCACTTGCCCTGCCCTTGTTGTGGCTTTGGCCTCTCCCTCTGTTGTTCGCTCTTTCCACCCCCACTTAATCACACATTTTCATCAGCCTGGCTCAGGGGGTTAGGGTGCAGCAGGAGGGGGGGGTGAAGGCTCACGCTCTGGGGTGGGGCCAGAAATAAGGAGCTCAGGGTGTACGAGGGGGCTTTTGGCTGAGGCAGTGAGTTGGAATGCAAGAGGGACGATGGCTCCACCTGGCAGTGTGGGTTCTGGGGCAGGACCAGGGATGAGGGGCTTGGGTGCAGGAGGGGGGGGGAGTCTGGGATGGGACTAAAGGGTTTGGAGGTCATGAGGGGGGATCAGGCCTGGGACAGCGGACTGGTGAGGGGGACAGGCTCAGGTGTAGGCTTCTGGCAACACTTCAAGCAGCTCCTGGAATCAGTATCTCCTCTACCCTCCGGGTCCCACATGGGGGCATAGCCAGGCGTCTCTGGCGCCGGCCCCTGCACCAGCACCGCTCCTGCAACTCCATTGGCTGCACTTTGCAGCCAATGGGATCTGCTGCGCTGGCAACTGGGGTGGAGCAGCCTGAGGAGCCCCCTGCTGCCCACACGGGTAGGAGCCACAGGCAGCTCCCGGGGTGGCAGGCGGGGAGCCTGCCTGAGCCCTGCTGCCACAGGGACTGGACTTGTACCAGCCCAGGCTCCCTGTCCCCAGGCAGGCCGGGACACCTGACCCCCCCCAGGACTTGGGGAGGGTGAGCGGGGGCGGGGCTCCCAGGCCTGGTCAGCACACATTGGGCCTGCTACCCCTGGCCACAAGAGCCCCCGCCCCTCCTCTCACACCCACCGCCAGGGGCGGGCAGGCAGGGCCCTTGGGAGGGAGCTTCAGGAGAGGGCCGTGGCCTAGTCCGGCCCCACCCACTTACGGCGCCGGGGGCGGGGTACTGACTCCGGCCCCGCCCCTCTGCGTTACGGGGGGGCGGACACGCGCGGATCCCGCCCCAAGTGCATGCTGGGCGCTGTAGTTTCCCACGCCGAGCCGTCCGTTGCTAGGTCACAGAGCTCAGGCGGGCGGATAGAGCGCCGCTAGGGAGCGCGGAGCGAAGAGCCCTGAGGCTGCAGCCGGGGCGGGGAGCGCGGTTTGCGGGAGCCAGCGCCGCAGCCTCCCGGGTAAGAGGAGCAGCTGGCGGACAGGTGCTCCGGGGCCCGACCAGTTCCTAGGGCGGGGATCAGAGGGGGAGGGGCAGCAGCGCGAGCGAAGGGGTTGGGGAGAAAAAACCGGGGCAGGCGGAAAAAGTAGCGAGGGCGGGCCCGCGAAGGCGCTGGGGAGAGAGAACCGGGCGGAGGCAAAAGTAGTGAGGGCGGCCCCGCGAAGGAGCTGCGGAGTGGGCTCTGGGGAGGACGGAGAAAGGAATGCGGGCGGGCTAGTGCTGGGAGGCTGTAGTTCTGTGTTGGGTGCCAGGCAGGAGTTGGTGCGGGAGGGGAGCCAGTTTACAAACCAGCTCTCCTCTCGGACTGGCTGCTGGGGGCAGACCTGCGCGGGGCTGCCTGGCTCTTAATACCCGTGGTGCAGGACCCAACATGAGCCAGGCTGCTAAAATTAACAAGGGGTGGGGGGGACATGCGGGGAGTCTCCATAGCATTAACCCGGTGATCTCCTACCCTTTGCAAGCACAAGGCCACTTTCTGCATTTTAGTGCAAGATCTACCTCAAATCCAAACACCCTGGCCCTGCCCTCTTGTGTCCCTTCTCCAAAGCCCCGCCCTCCCTCCCTCACTTCCACCAGGCAGGGGCAATGGTTTTGGGGTGCAGGCTCTGGTCTTGGATTAAGGAATTTGGAGTGTGAGGGGCTCTGAGCTGAGCGTGGGGCAGGCAGTTGGGGTGGCAGAGGGGGTTCTAGGTGCAGGCTCTGGGAGGGTGTTTGGATGCAAAGGTGCTCAGGGCTATGGTGGGGTTTGGGGTGCAGGAGGGGGTTCATGAGTGGGGTAGGGCTTCAGGATGTGGACTCTGATTGGTCACTGCTGGCTCCTGTGTAGTGGTGCGGGGGCTAAGGCAGGCTTACTCCTGTCCTGGCCCTGCACCACTCCCAAAAGCAGACAGCAAACTCCATCCCAAGTCATGCTGTGCCCCCTCTCTACTCTGTGGAGATAGGATACAGAGTGGGAGAGGGGGCACCTTGACATCAGCATCCCCTCCTTTGCCTCCTCTTCCCTGCACAGAAAGCAGAGGATTCCTAAGGAGACAGCTCCAAGTCAAAGGGTAGGAGATGCGCAGCAGTCTGGGGCAGCTGATGTGCTAGGCTTGATACATTCTTGGCCAAACCAGTTAGGATCGCCTGCCAAAGACTCCAAGATCCCGATCTACTGGTTGGTGACCACTGCATTAACCTACACACTTTTCTTATTTGTTAATCAACTATGCTATTACAAGCCTACCTTAAACTGTATTTAGGTGCCTAAATTAAACGCCCTGAATGCCAGGCTCCCTGCAGCATTCAAAGTGGCAGTGCTGCACATGCTGCTGCTTTTAAGAACCCTTCTCTTTCCCCCACCCTTTGCTGCCTCTATCTGATAGAGGCAGCAGAGTGGGGGCAACTAGTTGACTAGTCCTTTATATCCCTAGTTGGTTTAACTACTTTGGAAGGTGGTGTGAAAAATGTATACCGCTGAGCTGTGTAGTTAAGCCAGCCAAAGTTCTTGTGTCACAGCGCTAGGTTGACGGAGGAATTCTTCTGTTGCCTTAGCTACTACCTTTTTGGGAGCTTGAGTTCCTGTTCCGATGGGAGAATCCTTCCTATGGATCTATATAGCATCTACATTGAAGCACCACAGTGGCATAGCTATGCTGCTGTAGTGTATTAAATGTAAACAAGCCTTAAGAATATTGTATAAGAAATCATTTAAGGGCCCAGTGTTCTCTCCAGCAACACAAGCGAACAAGACTAACATTGTGTGGTGCTAAGTAATAGGGGAGAACACCAGCATCGTGGTATATTGTCCTAAAGCTACACTGTTCCATGGTGGTACTGTAGATTTTCTGGTAGTCTTTGGGAATTTTCTAGTAACATGGCTTTAAAACTCTTCTTGTTTCTACTTAGTAAATATACCATCAAATTATAGATAAAATGTTTCCTATTAGTTTTACATGTAAGCAGTTGCAGTAGTTGCTGCATGGATGTTACATGATCACAAGTGAGAGAAGAGCAATTGTGAATAAGAGAGGTGAGCCATGAAACGTTTTCACTTTTACAGAGAAGTGCTGTTCAAACAAGCTGTCTTGTTTGAATTGGTCTCTATAGATAAATTTTAAAAAAGAGGTAGTACCTTGTAGAAAAAGCTGCAAGACAGTACACTGAATAATGCATTTTTATCACACAACTCATAATGATTTTAATATACACTATCAAACGGTCACATTTGTAAACATTTCTTGTGACACTAGTGTATTAAAACTGAATTAATTGAACCCCTGCTCATGGTGTTTTATTAGGGTTTTTTTTTTATTTAGCTCAGCTTGCACGAGACATAGACTAACTTTTGTTTTTGTTTTTTTAATATATTTAAAACATGGTGTTTCATTGGTCATGTGCACAGCTGTATGTTGAATGAGAATATTTTTGCCAATACCCCAGTATTTTTCTTTCCTACGTTCCTTATGCAGTTGGCCTGTTAATAGGAATAACCATATTGTGAGTGTTGTCCTCAAATAGTAGCCAATCAGAGTCAGCAATGACTAATTCAAAATTATGCTGAGATACTAAGTCAGGGGAAGAGCTCCCTGGACCAAAAAGCCCAGTCAGGAATCTCTGTTGCCCCCCCTCCAGATACTTGGGGAGCAGCATAAGAGAGACACTGACTTCTTCCCTAACAAAGGAAAGGGGAGGGGTTGCCAAACTTTCTTTACATGCTGGAATGGAGACAGGCAGAGAATGGAGCTCCAAGTTGGCTAGAAGTGCAGTGACTTAACTAGCTGTTTAAGGGTACGTCTACACTGCACGCTTATTTTGAAATAAGCTATCCCGGAATACTTATTCTGAAATAGCACGTCTACACTGCAGGGAAGCTCAAAATTAGTCTGAGGCAGGCTTTCCTAATGTAGATGTGCTATCTCCATTTAGAGCTCCAGGAGGCACCGGGGAGGAATAACTTAGAATGGCCCTCGTGGGGGGCTATTTTGAAATAGCAGTGGAGCATCTACACACACCTTATTTCAAAATAACTATTTCAGAATAGGCGTTATTCCTTGTAGAATGAGGTTTAGAGATTTCAGAATAAGATGTCCATTATTTTGAAATAATGCTAGTTATCTCGAAATAACGGTGCAGTGTAGATGCACCCTAAAAGTGTTAGTGCCTGGCCTACAATCATGCATAGAGCTGACCTCAGGCTGGGGGAAAGTGGACCATAGTGACAAGAATGAGTTCAGCCTTCCAGCTCTTATGTTGGAATTCAAACACAGGCAATTGGCTGACCTCGTTCTAGTTAAACTATGGGCAATTATTCTGTTTTCAATCTCTGAAGAAGAAAAACAGACCTCCTTTGGCCATCTGACTGACAGGGGAACACTCAGTGTAGGAAGAGAAATGTGCAGTCTAGAAAAACCCTTGTCAGGAGAGAGATGAAAGTCTCCACCCAAGAGAGGTGAAGGCTGTGAGCTGGAAGCCTGAGATCAAGTGGCCTTCCTGGATACACAGAGGGAGAATCCAGAGGGAGAATCCAGGTGAAGTTGCTCTGAACCGTGACTATAATGCATTTAACTGTAGATTTGTGATCAAAGTCTCGAGAATAATGTATCAATTGTTTTTAATAATTACAGATGCCTCTAACTAGAAATAATGGAGCTGGGAAAAGGAAAACTTTTGAGAACTGGCCTTAATGCCTTATATCAGGCAATCCACCCTGTGCATGGTATTGCCTGGACGGATGGGAAGCAAGTGATACTGACTGCTTTACATCTTCACAATGGAGAGCCAAAGTTTGGTGACTCACGTGTTATTGGTCAGTTTGAACATGTTCATGGACTTTACTGGGGCCCTTGTGCTACAGACACCACAACTCTGCTTGCTGTTCAGCATAAAAAGCACATAACTATTTGGCAGCTGAGCTATAACCTTTCAGAAAGGAATAAGCTCTTGGTTTCTCAGATTTGTGAAACTGGTGAGCCATTTCCAGTGCTTCCCCAGGGCTGTGTGTGGCATCCAAAGAAAGAGATCTTGGCTGTGCTTACTACACGGGATGCCTCAGTCTTACACACTGTTCGTCTCAACAACTCAAGAATTAAAGCTGATATCAAAGGTAGTGGTCTCATTCACTGCGCTTGTTGGACTAAGGAAGGCAATCGCTTAGTAATTGCTATAGGCAGCGCACTTCATTCCTACATATGGGATGATGCTCAGAAAACTTTAAATGCTTGCTTCTTTTGCCCAATTTTTGATGTGGGAGGTTATATATGTGCTGTAGAAGCTACTTTGGATTCCCAAGTTGCTGTTGCCACTGAGCTTCCATTAGATAAGATCTGCGGTTTAAATTCAGGTATTGCTTTTGAAGTCCCAGCTGGTGGTGAAACAAATTCTTTTCCTTCACAGTCTACCTTAGTATGTGGTGATGAAGAGTTCTCCATGGATGTGAGGAAAAAGTCATTGGACTCAGAAAAATCTGTACCCATTGTTTCAGTACCTTCTCCTTCCACAGTTCCTGTGGATCTAACCCATATTCTTTCCAGCAAACAAAGACCTTGCTCCAGTCCTCTTATTCATCTTAGGCACAAGGATTATCTAACAGGAAGTGGCCAAGACTCTTCACACCTGATCTTGGTAACTTTTGAAAGAAAGGTTACCACTACCAGAAAAGTCAGCATCCCAGGCATTCTGGTTCCTGATATAATGGCTTTTGACCATAAAACTCGTACTGTGTCAGTAGCCTCCAATACTTGTAACATTATTTTGGTCTATTCTTTGACTTCATCCTGTTTACCCAATATTCAACAAATTCAGCTTGAGAAAAGTGAAAGACCAAAGGGCTTGTGCTTCCTGACTGAAAAATTGTTATTGATTTTAGTTGGAAAGCAGAAATTCACTGACCCTGCATTTCTGCCATCATCTAAGTCAGACAAGTATGTCATCCGTTTGATGATCAAAGAAATACTTTTTGAAGAGAGTTCTTCAGCAGCTGCAGGAACTAGTGGTAACTCCAGCTTGAATGCCTTTTTGAACATACCTGTGAAAAAAGTGTCACCAGAAAATCTGTCTGTGGAAGTTCATCCTCTAAGCAATGGTCTCCTGATACCAAGCCATCCTATTCAATCTCCTGTTAACAGAAAAAAACTTATTGAAGAAATTAAAAGCCCAACCTATGAGCAACATCTGTTGTCATGTGTGAGGGACATCACAGAAAGAAAGATTTCTATGGATTCTCCCTCGGCTCTGGAAACTTTGGATGTTGAACCAACCAATCGGTCATTGGCCTTGCATGGGCTTAGAACACCTGCTGCATTTTCTAACAGACCAGCATCTCCAAAAAGGCAGGTGGATGTAGATCCAGAAATTTCAAATGCTCCTAAAAATAATATTCTGCTTAGTGAAAAAGAAGCAAGGTATTTATCTCAGAATATGGAAAGATTATGTGACAGTTTTACAGAAGTACAGCATCACCTTTCTGAGCTAACAGAACTTCTAAAATCCAGGAAGACATTTCTTTCAGTATATCCATCTTCTCAGGAGCCATCTTTTATTAACATCATTTATCAGGTAACTTTTAATGCTGAAAGCTCTGTGTAAAATCTGTTTGTGTGCATGTATTTTAAGATTATAGATGTCTTTAAAATGTATAGCTTTGTAAGAATATCATTCTAGATTATGCCCAATAAGGCTCCAGTCCTGCAAATAGTTATTCATGTGCTTAAGTTTATACATGTGAGTAATTATATTGCATTAAGTTGGGTTTAATTAGGGCCTTAATTTGTATTTAGTATAATAAGGATTGAGGCTTTAATTTCTATGTAGAAGAGATGTTTTTTGCCATCTTGTATACCAATCCTATGTATGTTCATGGTGCTAACAGAATTGTCTGTCAGATTTCTCTAATGTCAAATTATTTTTTATTTCATATCACCTGAGATTTTAAACTAAAAATATTGCCATTTTACAAAGTATACTGCTTCAGTGGTTTTTGTACATACTTTATTTTCATCACTGGTGCATGTAGTGCAGATAGGGCCATGTTTTTAAAAAAATAAGTAAAGATAATGTTATAGTTTACCTATTAGTAGGGTTCAGTTTATCAACAATGATTCCATTATTCTGCAGATTTAAAAAAAAATGCAAATAATATGATTTCCCTGTTCATTAGTGTCTGCTATTCAGTACCCCCACCTTCTCTCCTTATGCTCATATCCTATAGCCAGATCCATGTCCATGCCCCTTTGTGGACTCCCATTTATTTCAGTGCATAGGTCCACATTTTCAGATTCAGTTATAGTATCAGAGCCTTTGGATGAAGTTCTGTTAAGTTCTAGTGCTTTTTCCATATTTTTTTAAATATGTTTCATATCTAAAAATTCTAGACAATTAAAATTACTCCCATGGATGGCAGCAGCTTTTAGTTGCTAGTAGCATTATTGTTTTAAGAGTTTAAACAATTGTTATCCAAAACAATTGGCTCTATCTGAAATTGAAATGTAGTTGGTTGAATTGTACCTATGCAAAAGAGGTGTCATGTGGATCCTTCTTCTCCTATAATTTGAGGAAAAAAAAACTTTCAAATTACAGGTTTAGTGTGAAACCTGACAGTTAGAAAATATAATTTTTTACCAGTAAACTGGTTATATTTACTATGGAAATCATTGATATTAGGGCTGTCAATTGACCTGCATTAACACCTGCAATTAATGCAGGACCGGATTAACACGTTAACTTTTTAACACATTAATCGCAGGTGTTAATGCTGCACTGCCCCTTTGAAGTGCTGCTTTGGCATTTCAAAGGGGCAGCACAAGCGGAGCCAGGGATCAGCTGGGGACTGCTGTTGCAAAGCCCGTTTGAAACACCAGAGCAGCACTTCAAAGGGGCTTTGCAATGCACAGCTGGGGATCAGCTGGAGTGCCCAGCTGATCCCCGGCTCTGCCTATACTGCCCCTTTGAAGTGCCGTTTTGGCACTTTAAGGGGCAGCGCATTAAGTGTCTGGGATCAACTGGAGACTGCAGCTGATTCTCCTCCCCCACCCCACCACACACATTGCAAAGCCCCTTTGAAGTGCTGCTCTGGCGTTTCAAAGGAGCTTTGCAACAGCCAGGGCCGGCTCTAGGCACCAGCAAGATGCTTGGGGTGGCACATTGCCAAGGGTGGCACATTGCCAAGGGTGGCATTCCGGCCTGAGGAGGAGCAGGCGGGGAGCCCTGGGGAGGTCACTCCGAGCTGGGAGCCCCGTGCCTGGCTGCTCATAGACTGCGCTTGGCTCCGGGGTGCTGGGAGGGCAGGGTAAGGTGGGGTGCTAGGAGGGCACTGGAGCGGAGTTCAGAGGCTCAGCGGGTGCTGGGGCTCAGCCCCACGGAGGCTGCCCTGAGGTAGGATCTCCGCGCCCAGCTGCTCGGAGCCTGTGCCTGGCCCCGGGGCGCTGGGAGCTCTGGGTGGGCAGCCCCGAGGCAGGGTGATTCCTGGAGGGCAGCATGGGCTGCCAGCGGCTGGGGAGGCTGAGCCTGGCGGCCTCTTCT